TTTCGCGACCCCAGCTGCGACTTCTGCTTCCGCCTCTGTCCATCGGTCGAGTTCGCTTAGCCTCGGATCTGGGGGATTTCGCAGACTGCCACGGACCTCCACGGCTGCCTCAGTTTGGTCGATGACTGATCGGACTGCGGCACTCGGTGGAGTCGAAAACACGTCGGAAAAAAAACGCAGAAGAGCAGACACACGGGTCATGTTTCCTCATCGTCACTATTCATGTTTCTCGATATTTTTTGGTACAGTTGAGGAGCACTCGCAAACATTTACTCCGTCATGGATTTGTTTGTTTTAGGATGTTGAACGTGATGCCCCGAGCACGAGTACAATGTTGGTGACTTCTGAGTCATACATGATCCGTATCATCTACAACCTTCCGCTTGAAGGTCCGGATGCCCTCCCAAGTCACAAGACAGACCTAGAGTTACCTACCTGGGAGTTCCAAACACTGTCCAATTTGCATCCCTTAGCAGAAATCATGGAGTAACTGTGGGATTGGAGCGAACGTAGGGAGAGGGTGTTTAAAGCCTGCATAGATTGCTCAACCAGCCGGAAGTTCAATCGGGATTTCAACAAAGGTTACATCAAAGTCGGAAGTCGTTGAAAGAGGGCGTATGAAAGATTATGAAAGTTAAGTTCATTCCTTGTGTTATTAGTGTTGCACAAACTAAGAGTTCCATTTTCCCAAATCTAATCCTTTCAACACTGTGTTCTTTCAACACTATGTGCGTGTCCAGAGCCTCCAGTTGGCACCCCTAGATTTAGAGCAGATTTAAGCGCGTCATTGACCAGAATTCCAAGTGTGAAAACACAGCATGAGGTCGAACTCCCTGCTAGTCATACCCCAGACCTTTTTTTTGATCAAGCTTCTTGATGGCTTTTGCTGTATCAAAGGATGTTGGATGTACATTGCCATTCTGGCTGAGCAGTTTGTCGACCTCTTGAAGTCTTGACCAGGCAGTCCTTTGAACGCATCTCGCCACCGCCACACCCGCCACACCATGGTGCGTGTGTTCAGCTTCAGTGGCGAAGTGGTTCTGAACCGCACAGAGGCGCTCAGTTTGGAAGAGCTCTCGAAAGAGGCCAGGGGGATTGGCTTTGTTGGCTTCAACCTCTTCAGGATCTTCAGGAACACGGCACAACCCTCTTGGTGACCCTACCAGATCCTACCAGGGGGAGCTGGGCGGGTGAGGATAGCTCAAGGCATACTTTATTGATTAAGAGGACACTGGCAGGTTCGTCCCCAACACCAGGAGCCAAAAACAAACCTCCCCAAACACCTTTTCCAAGGATTCCACTGCTTCTCAGCGATTCCGATGGAACTTCTAATTAGATTAGACGTGCTGCTTCAAATTCAATGGGTAAGAGGGCCAAGGATGAACATGTTTGCATTGATTGTTTTCAGAGTCCAGGTGCCCCACCTTGAGATCCCATCCGCATCCATCTGCATCTGCGGAGATTTCCTTCCTTTTACCATGAGCCACCACAGGTGGCTGCGGCTGTGGGGGCGCATTGCCGCCTGATCCGCCGCGACGGATCCGAGTTGACGGGTCCGAGCTCCGCACTGATCGAGGAGGAGGAGGAGCTCACTTGTGTCGTCAGTAGCGTCGAACCGTGGCTGAAGATGCTGGGTTTGCTGCATGAAGATGGCACAGCCTTCTCAGAGTCATGGCTTTTTAAGCAAAGGATGTGGTGGGAGGTGGGTGGAACGGATGATTTGCTGCGCCACAGGATGGGGAAGAGGTGTGCTTTTTCCTTCCAGGTCACGGCGTTCCTTCCAGACCTCACAAAGCCAAGGTTGATCGGTAAGTCAGTGAAAAAGCTATTTGGTCCTTTGAGGGGCCCTTTCCTCACGTCGGGCAGAAGGATCGGCAGGATCGTAGTCCTCTTTCAGATCGGTGCGTTCGGAGCTTGGTTCGGTTCGCGGCGGTCGAAGAAGCGATGAGGAATGACGGGCCTCGGGAAGCACCTGGAAGACGGAAGACCAGGCTGCCATTGACCGGATAGTGGGTTTGTTCCACTTCCTATATAAAGAAACGATCAGCTGGACATGTGTTGGTTTTGTATTTGTTCTTCAGGAGTGGAGTGAGGACCACTTCACGCAAAAAGACCCACCAGCTTCATCCCCGCTGCACGGACACCGTCGGTGTTGTCGGTGGTTTTTCTCAGGAGACCTTCAGTCGAGAAGACTTGGAGACCATGGGCACGAAGCTGGGGCGTACACTCCTGCAGGTCGCCTGTTTACATGGAGGTCCAGGACATATGGAGGGATACCTTCGAATCCGTTGGCCCTTCAGTGGTCCTGCACCCAAGAACTTTGCCAAAGGCTACATGGAGTTGCTTCCCTCCAGGGAGATCTTGCCAGCGGGCACGCGTGTGCGCATCTCTTGTGCTGCTGGCACTCATGGTGAAGAGGGCCTCAGGACGGCTGGTATCGGTGCGCCAAAACCGAAGGAAACTGCTCTAAAAACGGTGTTTGGCTGTCTCGTGGGGGTGGTTATCCTGCCTGGCCAAGAGGGATCCATTGCCTGTGCCTTTTTTCTACATCCGATGTAGAAGTCTGGCGCCTGGTGCCAGAACATCGGGTGTTGGATCATGCTTCTACATCAGTGAAACACACGTTCATACCCAACAATATCCAACAAGTTTATGCTGGCTTACATGTGGACCTCAGAACTGCTCAGTTCCTATTCTGGTGTGTTTCCCGGATTCGCTGACGTTTTCACCAACATCGCTTGACATCCAATGACATCCAGGAGGCAGCTTTGCAAAAAGTGTGGGTGCACTATGGTGCACTAGCTTTTGTTTGATTTAGAATTATCGAAATGCTGCCAATCAAACAAGACAACACATGACCCAACCAAAAACTTGTTGGACCTTCATGGTACCCCAGATCACCAATGGATTCTGTTAGGAGGTCAGGGTCACCGAGGGGGGGGGTCATGTTTTTCGGATGAAACCACCAACCAGATAGAGGTTGCCTGTTCGTTACCCACTACGGATGCTGTTCGTGGGTTGGAACTGGTCCAGGGGGTCGGAGGTCGTTGATTTGGGTGTGTCCCCAAGTGCCATGCCCAGTTCCTAGCAGTGCTAGGACGCACACACAAGGACAACTCAAGATGGGACCTGCCCAGACCTTTTCTAATAGTCCGACTGTTCGATCTGCAAAATCCCTAGAGGGAAGCCACAAGCTCAGATTCATTGCCAGATAGTCATGAGATGAGCCGATGAGCACGATGCAAGAGCTGCAGGATCCTCGAACTTTTGGTCACCACACCACTTTGCCTTCTAAAACCTCCAATTTGAGAGACCTGACTAGAGTCCAGTTCCTGTAGAAGAATTCCACTTCAAGCACCTACAATATATAGAGATGTATAGAGCTCAAAACAGAACTTGCCGGAGAGTTTGAGTGCACCTCGCTTCGCTCTTCGTGGAGGACGCTCTCTGAAGCGATGACCCTGCGTAGCTTGGTGGAGCTGCGACGCGCGAATCCCATCAGTCGCGAGGAGAAGGCGGTGCTGCTGGCCACGCCCGAGGCAGTGGAGAAAGAAGCTGAAGATGTGCTGCGAAATCTGAAGGTGTTGGAGTTTGAGCCACAGGAGGTTCATTTGCAGTTGGGCTATGACTCTTGGAGAGGAAATAGGAGGATTTTGGAGAAGATCGCCGGGCCGTGTTAATGGATATACAATGTTATATATATATATTGTTATACTATCTATATAGGATTGTGTGTGTGCTTTTGGGAGAACATCTGAGTTCACAGAAGGGTGTTACTCGTGAGAGTTCAGGGTGTGCATTGGAAAACCGCCTTGGAGGTCAAGAACTCTTGAGGCACACTATTCCATTTGCTCAAGCTACGTGGACGTTCCCTTTTCAAGCCATATCATGACATTAGATTGAACAAAGCATCAATTATGTCAGAAACCCAGGTCCTTGACGCAAATCCCGAGGAATTCTACAAGGAAGAGGACTACCTGTGAGAGGGGCCACACGAGTCGGGTTGATTACCCAGGCCGGTTGAAAAAGAATTGGACCGTCCGCACGGTCTTGACCTGGCCAGCCGGCTCGTTGGAGGTTGCGTGACGTGGGTTTGAAGGTTGGAGGTCTGGTGGAGACTGTGGGCGTTCTGCAGGGCACGGGGTGGCAAACACCCGGGAGGGTCTTCATAGAAAGACTGACATGTTTGTTCAACAACTTCCTCGACTAAGTATAGTAAGATTAGTAAGCAATTTGGAAGGCAGCTGTAACGTGTGCTACCATCCATCCTTCCATGGCACCCACTCACGCCCAAGCTCCAACCCACCCAGAAGAAAAAATTGTATTTAATATAAGTTAAGTCTTTTAAGTGAGGTAGTTCAAACTCTGAGGAGCCTCGTGCACCCACAACCTACTCTTGACACACCGTGCCAAACAGACATAAGTAGCTCGAGGAGATGAGGGGAGAAGCAGCATTAAGGAGGCAAGGCGCAATCAGGCTGCAAAATGACAGCCAAAACTGCCCCTGCCCCTTGATCTTTGAACCGCAAGACCGTTGACTTGGACTCCGCTTCGACTGGAAGTCTTCACGCTGGCGTGCTCCGGTGGCACCACTTCGACGGTGGCACCTCACCGACCTGCCTGGCTCCGTTGAGCCCACGGACGTCCGCCCGCCTGTCCTGTATGCGGGAACTTGGCATGGTTTCGTCATGGAAGTGCCAGAGCAGCTCCAGCTGACCTGGGGAGATGTCTTCAGCATATCTCAGCAGTTGCTGGGACATCTTGGGAGCATGGGCGGGGGACAAGTTTCCAATCATTCAAGGCGATTGTGGCATTTGCGTCCAATTGGTGTGCCCAGGGTGGTCAAACCGCCCGCAGAATTGATAGAATTTCGGAAAAGCAATCCCCAACCAAACAGTAAATGTCCAGTTAAAGGGTTTTGTGAAGACTTGCCATGTTTTCTTCTGCAGATTTGGCACAGACACTGCTCGACCAGACCTAAAACAGTGTGACATTGCCAAAGGAGAAGGGCAAAGGCTCGACTGCTTCATGGGAGCTTCAGTGACAGAATATTTGCTCATCAGTGAGGCAACTCAGCAGGAGTAAGCATCTTCGATCTGGAAGAGCGGCAAATGCCATGCAATCTCACAGATGAACCGGCAACAGGGGCACCAGGAATGGGCAAACCAAAACCGAATATAACGTATGGCATGGGTAGACAGGGTTCAACCAGCTTCAGCTGCCAATTCCTTGAACCTATGGTTTGTGCGTGGGGTGGGCCCTGGGGCATATTCTCACATGGTGTGGCTTGACCATATTTGGGAATCAGGTGCTATTTGTTGGGGATGGCAGCAACCTGACGACCGCAGCGCAGCAGCGTACGCGTGGACGATACTCTCCTGCCATGGTGAAGGTTCGTTGTTGCCGATCCAGGTGGGCGAAGGAGAAGGTCTTGCAATGATCACAGAGGTAGACCAGGACACCCGATTTAGGATAGTACAGTTGCAAATGCACGGAGTCAATTTTAACCACCTTTGGTGTTCCCCTTTTTGTTGAATTTGGTTGAAGAATATATTGAATTAGGGCCACGAGATAGATGAATCATGATGAATCATAGAGACCAACAGCCAGATACTCGTACCAGCAACCCCTTGATTGAAGGAACATGACCATTGGACCCACATGAGGCTCAAATTGCTTGCTCCCAGGGGAACCATCCTCGTGCAACTCATGCGGGACCTTCGTTCGCCGGTGGCGCAGGTCTGGAGCGTCCACCTCATGTGGGGACCTGGTGCTGGCCGAGGCGGTCTGGGACAAGAGGTGGCCCCCTCCCCCGGTGGGTGGCAATGGTGTTTCTGCTGCACAAGACGACGAAAAAGAAGGTCTACTCAAACAGGTGGGGGTAATTTGTGTTTCATCCTCTCTCAATCGAAGAGTGCATTCTGCAAGCAGGGCAGTGAGACTGAGCATCCCTGTTCCGAAATGTTGGACGCCGACATTTGCTTTCAGGATACTCCAGTGGTGTGCCCGACCGCCATGCCAAATGGAGAGCCAAGTGCAGGACTCGGTGTGCCCGAGAACGGTGCTGAGATCTCGGGCGGAGGGCCACGGGGAACGGGGCTGAGAACGGTGTGAAGCTTTTTGCGTGGTCCACGTTGGGCTGGCTGCCTGCGCTCCAGCATTTTTGATACCTTAGTGACACATGTTTGGTGACTTTAGATACGGGCACTAAAAAAATAGGCCCCGCCTCAACTGCCACTCCTAAGGCCTCTCCACAACTGCCTTCTACGAAACAAATGGGATACATTGTTTGACTTAGATACACTCCTAGTGGGCTGTGATTCTTGAGTTTGGCACCCGCGTCGGTCAGCTCACCTGCTCAGATTGGGTCGAGACTTTCTCCTGGCGATCGAGCAGAAAAATGCATCTCTGGTGAAAGCATGCCTGGAACAGAAGGCCGGTGGCCGTTTTCAGAGTTGCAGCTGTGGCCGTGCGTTTGGGGGAATCTCTTTCCGGTTGCCGTTCGTGAAAATATGTGGGGGCATTGTGTTCACCTTCCAAAAGAATGCGCGCCACCTGAGTGGAAATGTGTTGTATTTGGAATTCAGGATGCCTGCGTGGTCGATCCTGCCTCTCCTTTGCCCGAGTCGGTGAAGAGACGGTGAATGGAAGAACACATATCACCACACCACAGTAATCATTGGGAAGAAATAGATACAGCAATCCTGACTGCTTTGGAAAGCCACGGAGAGGGATGTTGTGTGCCCAGCTCAAGCGACCAGCAGGGCACTTGCTGCCACAATCTACTACAGGTGCAAGCTTCGGGCGTAGTTGAATGATCCAACCAACTGCACCGGGGTGATATTGTAGTGGCGCACTGCCTGGGTGAACAAGGATCTATATAATTGAATCTAATTAATTGCTGTTGTTTCTTTCAAATTGGGAAAGTGTTCGATATGTGTGGTTGCTTTGTTATTGTATTCTTCTTTTTTGCTTGTTTGTGTTTTTCTTGTTCTTCAGGCTTAACCCGCTCGTGCCGAAACATCGCCCCCCTCATCCAGGCGGAGCCCGGCGTCGTGGATGTGCCCAGCGGGCGGAGCGCCCTGCACTTGGCCGTGGCCACGGGCGACGTGGAGGTGGGGATCCTCCACGGCCAAGGCGGCTTGTGGGGGCAAATCAAGAATGAGGTGATGGTGTATATAGAGGGCTGATGAAAAAAACAACACAAAGCAAAGTCAAGAGGTAGCAAACAGGTGTAATTACAAGCATCGCAGTTTGTGCCATCATGTGCCGGTGTGTCTTTGATGAATCAACCGTCTATATGGTGTATGGTGCCTTTTTGACTTCTTTTGGCAAGTCATTGCTTCAGTCGCTTCCGGGAACGTGAGGACGTGACGGGAAGAAAAAACAGAGGTCCCAGATTGGGATCGGATCAGGTTACAAGAGAGATTAATAGTGACCTTATGGATCCTTATAGGGCCTGTCACCTGAGGTTACCCAACTGTGATAGTCGAACTAGGGTCCTTCAACCTCTGTTGGTTTAATAACTTCCGAATTGGTTGAGTGGAGTCAGTGGAAACAGTGTTTCGACGATGGGTACTCATTGTACTCATTGTACATTGCCCACAGTAATGGATACTCGATCACGGATCCTTCAAGTCATGGTCTATGGGGGGGGTGTCAAACTTGTCCCTCTTGCAGATAGTTGGGCCGAGGCCATGTTTTTCGAGGAAGCTGTTGGACCGCCTGTTGCTATCGCGCCGGACAGGTGATGAGTGAAGTGCTTCACTCTTGCGCATGGGGGCTCAGCGCGAGCCTGTCAAGGTGAGCTTAGCCAAAAAAACAAGGAGTCTAAAAGTTGCCAATCAACAAATGCCAGACTCTCTTCCAACATCCACAGGCATTCCAGAAGGCACCTGCAAAACCACCAAAACTTCTTCAACACCCTTCCGAAGCAACAGATATGTCAGATCCCGCCTGTAACTTGATCCCTCCAGTTCGACCTCTGTGTGACCGTCGCTCTTCGCGGGTCGACGGGGATCAGGTCCGGTCCAATGTCGACCTGACCGTGGAAGACGGTGAGAACAAAACACCGCTGGATGAAGCCCTAGAGGCCCAAAGCAGACGGGTTTGGGGTGGGATTTTGGGTGCAGGTGATGTGCTTGATGTGCTCGGCATGGAAGAAACGAGAAGACAAGAATCAGGAAAAACCATTTAAACCTGTCGGCAGGAAACAAGATCCTAAACCAGAGCTTTCGTGTCAATATATTGTATATTGATACCGTCGGTAGTGGAAAGTGTTTCATTGGTTGGCGAAGAAGGCTGTTAGGACTTTTCATGCCTTGCGGCACCCTGTGAATTGTTTCGGGGTGAGCTGGCGGATTGAGATCAAGAGAGTGTTCACCGGATTTGTCTCATCCATAGTGTTTTACTTAAAATTGAGGTTCATTGATATGGCTGATATGGGAAGTGCTACACGAGTTCTTCATGTTTTCGATGTGAGGTTTGAGGACACTGATGCAGATCTCAAATCCTTCCTTGGTAGATCCATCCTTTGGCCAGTCCTGGGAGCAGATTCATTCTACACCTGTCTAAACCACAGTGCGAGACTGTCTCTCAAGGTTCGAAAAAGCATGGTTTCGGGGGCCTTCTATCGGCTATTTTTTGTGAGGTTTGGGATCATCAAGAATCAACAGGAATGAAGGATCACAAGAGTTCCAACTGCTCGCTTTGTTCCAAGGGATGGATCTTTACCGCTCCTTTGAGGTCAGCTGGTGCGGAGGGGCGCTGCCAGCGAAACATCTTTGGGACAGGGGTAGCGTGTTCTTTCTCAAACCAAAATCCTTGACAAGCAAACGCAAAAAAAAGGCAACAACCAACAACCAACCGGCTAGCCAACCAGCCAACCAAACAAACGAACAAGCAAACAACTGCGGGATGGATGTGACTGACTGCAAGGTCAGTCACATCAGCTCCTCCTCAATCGTTTGGCCATGAGACATCCGATGGTTTCCGGGGCCGCCAGGTGAGACAAAGTTTGCACACCTCTGGGGAGGTCATCATTCCACTGCTTGCAGCTGGGAAGGACCCTGATGTGTGCTGGGAAGAGTTCTGAAAGATGGGGATCCACCGGTACGAAAGCCCCGTGGACTTGAAGTAGGATGTGTGTGTGGTATGTTCTTTGGAACAGGGATGCTGTGTCATGAATGTGGTGGGTGCTTCTGGTTGACTGAAGTGGCCGGCTGAAGATTCGTTTGGTTGACGCCCTGAGTCTCCAGGAATTCCTTGAACAATGGCTCTGTCCAGTGGAGCAGTTGGCCAGGCAAATCAAGGCACAGAAATTTGCCGATGCGCGGCTTGCCGACCGTGGCGGCCATTTCAGCTGTTTGGAGCCTTTCCTCCCAAAGATACACAGAAGTCTGATAAGGCCTATGCTACCCCTCGGGACTTTGCCCAAAGATCCAGCTGTTTGGACTCCAACCAACCCCCGGCTCCGCCCGCGGGTCTCGGAGTCCGAGACCTCGATCGAGACGAGGAGGCGCCGGAGCTCCTCACCGAGCTCCAAGGCTCCGAGACGAAATGGCGCCAGGCGACGGCCACCCCTGGGGCCCCCGGAGACGCGAGAGGTCGAAAGTGCCATGTACTGCTCGAAGTGCACTGCTCTACTGCTCGAGAGAGAGATGTTTTTCCCTGTTGGCTCGAAGATTGTTTGTTTGTTTTTGTGTTTTTTGGGTTCCAGTTCTGATAGGCCTAAAAAGATGGGACATGACGGTGAATCGGCTGAGATGGTGTTCTCGCACGGTGAATCGGCTGAAGCCCGCTGCGGCGTCCCGATGTCACGGGGGTGAGTGCTGGAAGGCACTGTCGGCGCTGTTGGATTGCTGTTCTCTTCCAGCCTCTATCGTGGAAGGCTCAGCATAGCCAAAGCACAGTGAGGCCTTTTGAGGCCCGGTATTTAAACAGGTCACCACGTGTGACTTCTGCCTCCAAAATGGGTCCTCCCATTGCTGACCTGAGGCGCAAGAGCGCGCCCTCGAGGTCCTGCTGGAGAGTTGGGTACGCTAGCGCAGAGAATCTGAGAAGGAAAGGAAAGGGGTGGTTCCAGATCAGCTGAAACAGAGCGAGAGAGAGAGAGAGAGACAAATGGGTTTGAAATTGAAATAGGCCCCCACCAATAGATTGCGGTGTGTTGCCTATTTAATTGCTTTCTTTTAGGTATTCCTATTCTAATGCACACCGGAATATCCAGAGAGCGAGAGAGAGAGAGAGAGAGACGGCCGATGGCTGATCCTTTTCGATCCTTTTCGTACAGTAGGGTTATGTTGGGTTACAGCCATTGTTAGTTCAAGGAGTGCGCGGCCAGTTGAGGAAGGCAAGTGCCCCTCTCCATCCAGAACCTGTTGGTGTCCTAAAAAAGTCCAGTTACCACGAGTCCACAACAAGCGGCTCTAAGGTCAAATTCATTACACTACATTGTAGGCGTAGCTAAGTATCTTGTCTTAAAGCTCGGCAAAAGAACCTTCCCATCAGTTCCCATCAGCCTGTCTTAAAGCTAAGCACTTCATATCAGTTCCCCCTACAGCGCTCGGCACCGTTCCTCGGGTGACCCACTCCGCCCAGTGCTTCACTGGCGCGCACGGAGGGCCGCCCTCGAAAGTCCAGGTGCGCAGTGGGCGTCTTGCATGGTGTGGGACGCGGAGAGTTGAGAACAACAAGGGTTTTGCCATAGAGCCTACCTGCTTATACCCTGCTTAGGATTTTTTTAATGCTATTTACACTGCGAGTAAAGCCGCGAGTCATGAGCATGGAACTGGAAAGCCACCTGTTTGTAGATGAAAATGATAATGGCTTTCCAGTGGCCTAGTTTCTATGATTATTTCGGGGAGTGGAGGGGGTAGAACAACCTGAAGATTTGAGATCTCCCCGTGCTCTAAGCTTTTTCTAGCTTGATTAGCCTAGTGGTTTCTGAGACCATCACCCCTAGTGCCCTAGTGAGCCAATTTGAAGTCACCCTCCAACTTCACGAACGGACAGGGAGAAAGAGAGAGAGAGAGAGTAGCTTCCTTGGCCCCCAACTTCTCCCAGAGAAAGAGAACAGCTCCAGAGGAGCTCCGCCGGGCACTCTTCACTTGTGTGGCCAAGAACCATGCGCCGGGCGTGGTGCAGATGCCCAGCGGCCGTGTTGGACTGTTTGGGCCAGGAGAGGTGTAGGTGTGGTAAGTTTCACTCTGAAACCAAGTCCCAATTTATTTCAAATGGTTTGGAATCCATAGGCAGCCATGTTTTCAGGTGAAGCACGTCAAGGCCATGGGATGTCCAGACATAGCGAGACATGTCTCCAGCTTCGAGATTGATTGTGATTCAATTCCCATTGTTTTTTTTTTTCTGGATCGGTACTGCCAGTTGTTGAAGTCGAGACGTGTTTTTTTTTGCAAATAGCAGATAGAAGGTGATGAGCAAGCCAGGAAGTCGATACACTATAGCGTTTCCTTGCAGGATAGAGTGTGTTGGAAGATGTTTTCTAAATGCATGGTTTTATTCAATGGGCTTGGTTTACTCAGCGTTCACAGTGTTTTGATTGCACAAGACCTACCGCAAGGAAGTTGGCAGGCAACCCATAGGTTGTTTCTAGAGGTTTCTATTATAGGCAGCCCATAGGTTCCCCTTCATCTTGGGATTGTGGGTCTCATGTCCAACCCTCCAAGGGCTTATAGGGCCAACCCTCGGAAGCAGGGTCCGCGTGGAAACCTGGCTTCCGCTGTGAAGCGGGCACACTATTGAGTGGCATGAACTTGTGCCAGATGAGGTGTGCCCTTGGGGGAAAGCTTGATTGGGCTACCTTCGCTGGTGCTGCCGGTCTGCTGCTGGTTTTCTGCTGCTGCTGCCTTGCTGCTGCTGGTTGGCTACTGCCGCTGCTGGCGGTTGGCTGCTGTTGGTTTGCTGCTGGTTGGCTGCTGCTGCTGCTGGCTGATTGCTGCCGGTGCTGCTGCTTGCTGCTTGGCTGCTGCTGGTGCTGCTGCTTGCTGCTTGCTGCTGCTTGTCGCTGCCGCTGCTGCGACCTGGGCTACAAGGCCTACTCATTTGCTGCCTGTCATTGTCTTGCACGCCCTATGATTATAGCAGGCTTCTTCCATTGCAGACTGGGCATTGGAAACGTGATATCAAGCTTGGTGGCAGGCCTGTTTGGTGAAATGCGGTGCCCCATGCGGAAACAAGTATCGCAAGGACGCTGCCGTGACTTAGTCGTGGCGTGGTGTCCCAGTTCTTGATTGGTTGCCACAGCTGCATTGCAAGGACTTTTGTGTTTGGGTGTTAGTGGGCATGGGTCTTCTGGGCAAACGTGTTCATCTCGCCCAATACCTCGCCCACATCTCGCCCTCTATCTCGCCCAACCCACCAGGCACCAGGACCTCCAGAGGTGTGCGATGGGGATTGCCATTGTCACAACACATATGTGTATATAAGCAAAGGCCTTTTCAATTTACATGGCCCCCCAGGCAAGGCGCGATTTGCAGGGTTCATGTTTTCAAGCGTTCATGTTCACATTTTTCGCAGGTGTGCCATGCGGAAGTGTGTCCTGCACAGTCGTTGAAAGACAGGAACGCGCGCACACAGACACCAACGAAGGCAAAACGCAAGCTAACCATTGTTTTTTTGTGGTCTTAGCTTACTTCTGGCAGAGATCGGAAGCCGATGTGCCATGGGCCATGGCTATAATGTAGGATTTGCTCCTGTGATGTGGGATTGGTGAAAACGGTGTGCCATGGGATGATGTGGTTTCTAGCCTCTGCTGGTTGGGTGCTGCTGCTGCTGCTGCTGCTGCTGCTGCTGCGCTGCGCTGTTTTGCTGCTGGTGGTCGGCTGCTGCCAGTTGCTGCTGGTTTGCTGGCGCTGGTTGGCTACTATACTGCTGGTTAGCTGCTGCTGGCTTGGTGCTGCCTGCTGTTTGGCGGCTGCTGGTTTGTTGCTGCCGGCTTGCTGCTGCTGTTTGGCCGCTGCTGGTTACCTTCTGCTGCTGTTGGGTTGTTGGTGTTGTTTTGCTGCTGGTTGGCTGCTGCTTGCTGCTGCCGCTGCCGCTGCCTGCGCTACAAAGCCTACTCATTTGCTGCTGGCTGTTGTTGCACAAACCCAATCATTGTGGCAGTGTCCGGTTGTAAGCTGGGCTTGGAAAGCATGGTTTTGGCGAAAACTAAGTGACTCTGACTTAGTCACGGTGTGGTGTCACAGAATCGGTGTGCCATGGGGGTTGGATCATTTCAGCCCATAGGAAACCTTAGAACCCATCAACGTGTAGAAGATTGAATCGCAATGGAATGGTGTAGGTTTAGAAACAATCTAGGCTAGGAGAAAAAGTGCTTGTTTCGAAGCGGTGTGCCATGGGGATTGAGAGAGGAATACACACAAGAACGCATAGATATTTCTGACGTTTAACGAACCGTTCCATGCTGTTTGCACTCCAGGTAGAAACTTAAAGCTGGTACCAACATGTGGGTCAGAATCGGGGTGCCATGGGGATTGGATCACGGCAACCCATAGATAACCTTTGAAAACATCAACATGTAGAAGGTTGATGAAGGTTGAATCGCAATGGAATAGTGTAGGTTTAGAAACAATCTAGGAGAAAAAGTGCTTGTCTGGAAGCGGTGTGCCATTTTGTCCAAGTTCTTACATTCGTGGGGTAAGCGGTGTGCCATGGGGGGTGGGTCAAGTTCATGTGCGATGGGGTAAGTTACCACGTCGGGTAGCTCTCCAACTTGCGTTGCCATTGGGATTTGCAGTTGAAGTTTTTCTCTTTTTGGAATGGTGAATCTGGAGAACCTTGTTCTGTATGTAGCGTTTACAATGGGGAAGGCCAGCAGTCTTGACTTTAAGTACTGACTTTTGCAAATCGGCGTTCCATGGTGGTTTACTATCCCACATGCAAAATGTATTAACTTCAACGGGCACCAGTATAGGATGCCGCTTTCAAGGGAAGATGCAGGATGTGGATCTGAAATTTCGACAGTATCGGAGCCTGGAATGGCCAGGTAAAAGCCATCCATGCATGAAGATTCATGTGCCGGTGAGTGTTCCATACATGGATTGTTTGGTGAAGTCGTGTTCTGATTGCAGTTCTTGTCATCATGTATCATTCTGAAATCATCCATCTTGCCGCTGGTGTCCTCTAGGCGGCCTACATCCATATGACGCTGTGATGCCTTTGGCTCAAGAACCGAGAAAAGTCCCAAGAACGACCCGGGCCCAGTGGTAAGAGCCATCGCCATGCCGAAGTTCTATTGTGACTGGGACCGCAGCCTTAGCCCACGATTCTTGCGTTTTTTTGGGGGTGTCACGTCCTTTTGTGCAAGTGAAGAAGGTTGACATTGTAGGGATCCTATAGTAGGCTGTTAGGCTGTAGGCCTTGCTAGCTTCCGGCAATGTGTGTTGATCATCGCTGGTCGCCCGATTTGTTGATCGCAAGCAGTGGCTGCGATTTGCGATTTCGTATATAGCAGCTCCGCAGTTCACTGATCCGATGACTTCATGCAGTTCACATCTCCTTCTGCATGATCGTCCACGTGTTCCCAAAACTGGTTTCAGAGAAAATCTACAGTCAGCAAACCCAGCGTGAAAACACGGATTCCTATAGGAAAAAAGGTATAGTCCTTTTTTCTAATTTTGGGAACACGTGGACAACTGGCCCCTGAGGCGAATATTGCGACATGTTCTTGACCCACAGCGGTCTAACGGGTCGAAGACAGCATTTGACCGGACGACGCCACATCAACAACAAGTGCCTGGGACGAGGTGAAGTCTATGGGTTGTTTGGAGGGTTGAAGGGGAGTAGCAACAACAAATGCATGCAAATGCAACCTGCTGCCCTCAATGGAATGGAATTTTGAAGAATTTCTTATATTCGGATGGTGCCAAACGCAAGAATAGAAAAAGAATGCCAGACAACGTTGAATGGCCAGTCTCAGCCTTACTCTTTTTCGATTCAGTCAAGCACGTGAAGACCTGCGGCAAGCAGGGGCTATTTCGAAAGGGATTTTATACATGAATAACAAATTTAACTATTCTGCTCACAACAATCCCATTTCCCATTGAACTCGAGATCCTGAGGATCGAGTACTATCAGATGTTGATCCGGGAGAAGGGCTTGACGCCACCCATCTATCCTCCACCCCCAGGCGGGCTGGGATGACTTTGACAGACTTTCTTGTCCAACGTCTCACATAGCGACATATAGTGCTCACAGTGGGGTGACCAAACCGCTCTAGCTTGACCTTGATGTGGCCCACTCTATCAGCTCCTTCTACGTGATCTACGTGCTATGTGGCCCAGTTTGTGAACCATGAGAAATCTCCGAAAGGGCTGGAAGGCTAGTCATGGCTAGATGCATGGGATGAATTTCTTTTTGCTTGCTCAGCTCGGTCCAAAACAGTCTCAAAACCCTTGGGCAGCACGCCCATCCTGCAGGAATGGTGTTGCCCATGCCCAAGTTGCCCGCGACGGCAGCCCCGAAGCCTGCAGCGGCTCTGCCAGGCGGACAGTTGACACTTCGTATCTAGAATCTAGAACTCACGTGTTCTGGCACGAGGAGGGTAAAGCAACTGAATAAACAACGAACTGGTGTAGTTGCAACAGTTTGTTTGTATCCGAACCATGGCCTTTAAGATCTTTCAATAAATTTGTGACAGAAAACTTGGATTCTGATTCCGACTGTCACAACCCAAATTGAATGAATTACTGTAAGAGTATTGACAATATCGACATCATGGGTTTGGGCATTTGGGGTTCCATCATATCGCTTTCGACGTGTAGGCTCCACGCCCTATGACATCCGAAAAGTCCAAGTGCGGCTCATTTCCATCCTGTCTCAAGTTGAGATGTTCACTCCACCTCCAGAATGATGATCATCACGTGAGAAGTGTCTTCAATCAGCTCCCTTGCTCCATCTTGCTCCAACCATCCAACCACCCAACTTCAGCCTTAACCCTTCGTCCATCAAGAGCCGTCTCAGAGCCTTCTCGAACAACCATGGAAGTGGAGCTCACCCCCTTCCTTCTCAGAAGAAACACATCTCAGACAGCTCCTCCACTCCCTTGGCTCTCGGCCCTCGTGGGATCGGGTCCCAAAGCTCAGGCCTCGGCCTGCCTGGGATGCTGCCGACCATGCCCAAGCTCCCGGGCGTGGGCGTGGGCGCAGGGATCCCAGGGCTTCCCACCTTGCCGGGGATGCCGGGGCTGCTGCCTGGCATGCCCAAGATGCCGGGTGCAAGGCCTTGAGCTCCTTGGATGCGACGGCACGGGTGGAGCCTGAAGTCTGTGAGACCCAAAGCAGATCGAAGGGTGCAATGGGCATTGGTCTCCAAATGGACGATGAGGTAGTCTATGGGGTGACTTTTCCGACTCGTGGACTCGCAGTTTCGAGTCGAAGATAGTGGAAGGCAGGAGAGAACTCAGCAGATAAGACTACTCTTCCGACTCTTCCTGCCTTTTCTTCTTGCTTGCGTCCAGCACTTGAACAAAAGGCCAAAAGGCATGGCTTGCCGGTCCGGCCATCAATTCCGCGGTCGAAACATTTGCGGTACTGCAGGACTTGGCTTGTAAGCAACGTGTTGCTTTTCCAGATGACTTCATCAGCCACTATCTGAGGATTCATGTCCGGTTTCCAGTGTGGCAGCCGCTCGAAGGGGCTGTGGACAGCCCAGGCAGGGAAGATGGCTGGATATAGCTGGGGGCCTCCCCAAACAGATTTAAAAACTGAAGCCTCCAAAGACGAACGTTTATATCCGGAACATTTGGACCCTCCTTATACTAGTAGAGCAAAAGGAGGTTTTGACAAGAACGAATGCTGGTGACAGCGGGGGCACCAATTCCCCAGATCACATGGTCCAATTCCAACGGACAGATCAACATCATTCAACATCCCCAGCAGTCGACTGCTTTGTCCGGTTTTGGAATGTAACGACCTCGGGTGTGGGACACGTGTTCGGACCTCTCACAGACCGTTCGGACCGTTTGCACGGCGCGTGCGGAGCGGGAGGCGAATAGCAATGAGCTGCAATGAGGCGATCAGTATAGCAGTTTTGTCGTGACTGGGCCACGACGGTCGTGAAAGACCCCCGGTGGGTTCGAGTCCCGGAAGAACGGCGAAGGCATCCTGGAAAAATGAGCGCAGACAGTGGCTGTCCAAGCTGGAGCTAGTAGCACATGAAAAGCACATGGAAAGAGTTATATAGTTCAGCTGTTTGAGAGTCTTTTAACGTAATGGTGCTTGTGGAAGCTTATTATTTTGATGGACAGCTCATGCATCGTTCTTGTCCTCTCATCCACACAGCCGATCCGCCTTCCGAGGAGGCCTTAGCCTTGGCGAAAGCAGACCTCAATCGCCTTGACCCGCGGTCTTGCAGGACGATTGTGATGGTTCTGGTTTACAGGGGATTGGACGGGCCGACAAGGGTTTGACAGTCCACGCAGTCCAGACACATACAATCACACACATACATATATATATATAATCTATATATATATACATTAAAATATATCTATAGTGATCTGCTAGCAGTTAGAATACAAAAAAAAAAATTAGTTGCAGATAGACTACGCAACATCAATTTTGTTGGAAAAAAACACGTCAGAGATAGAATATGAAATTCGCAGTTAGAATATGGAAACATCAACCATGAAAGCTAGAACATTGCATTCACTGCAAACATTGATTTTCCGTGAACGTGAATAATCCATTATATATAGTATGCAATTATTTGCAGTGGGACACGTGTGTGAATGCGGAGAAAGGCTGTTGTTTTGCCATATGTATATATATATATTCTGTTCATCGTTGCCCATTGTTGTTTGAACAGGTGTTTCTTCCTATTTTGTTATAGTCCTTTTTGAACAGCATATCAAATTAGTGCAGATAGAATACATTGCCACATGGCTAAAGGTCTAAAAGCATGCAACAGTCTAAAAGCCAAAAGGCCTACCAACAATGAAGCAAGGGTTTGCAAATGGTTATATACCACATATTCTATCTGCAACAATCTCCTGGCAGCCAACAATGCTGGCTTGCCCGGATATGCAGTATATTGTTTTATACCCGCTTCCTCGCCCAATCTCCTTTTTCTTCCCCATCGCAACTGTTGATTCTTGCCATGTGCTTTTTGCACGCTCTAGTTCAAATTCATGGATTGGATATGCATAGATCACCTCATGCCGATCAGGATTTGGCCAAAGTGCATCCTCTAATCCTTGTGGGGCAACTCAGCAGATCGAGCCTCACGAACCCTTTGAAGCTGACCTTTAGCAAGCCTATCCTTTGGTGATAGAGCCAAGTGATCTAACAGCATGAGCTCAATCACCCGGAGCAACGCCTGTCGTGGCGTGCGTCCAGAGGAGCCACCAAAGCGCCGGCCATGAAAGGTTCCTTCTGAAGCGCGGGCCCTCCATACTTGTCCACTTGGATGGACCCCGATGGCGCAACCTGGAGGTCGCTCAACCAAGCCAAGCTTCTGTAGTTCCTGATATTCTTCCCGTTGTTCGGAAACCCTCGCACGAGTGATCTTCATGTCTTTGGAGGCTGATGGCTCCAGCTCATTCTCATCATCTTCTGAGTCAGTGTCTTTGACAAACATCCAGCCGCTATGCAATGCTTGATCAAGTTCTTCAGACTCAGAACAATCATGTGCTTCAACCATCGCTCCTGCTTGCTCTAGTTGGTGCCTCTCTGCCGCTTCATTCTCATCATGGTCATCAAACTCATCGTGGCTTGCAGCCGCTTCGACGTCCATGACTCCAGCTGCAGGCAGCTCACCTCTTCATGAACAAAGACTTCAGAATCATACAAAACACTGCAGATAGAATATACACTGACAAAGAGCTCTCTCTCTCTCTCACTATATATACGCACATCATTTAGAGATACATCCTGTCCGTACAAGCAAACAAATAAAACAGAACATGCCTGGAAAGTGATCCACTTCCATCGGTAATGGTGCATCAGGAATAGCCTGACCCTTCATGAGCTTGAGCAACCATTGCTTGCCATCACCGGCCTGAATCCAAAGATCTTGTGGATCTGTGGCAGGATGCACCATCAGGAGCAGGCAAGTCTTCTTGAGGGTCTGCAAGTTCTTCCGTGCCACATTGGTAACAACAGCCTTTCTCTTCTTGTCCAGCACCAAGACCCTAGTTTCTTCTGCTTTCCACTGATCATAGGATCTTTGAGACTTGGGAGGCAAAGAATCCTTTCCGCGTATCAAGCGAGCAGCCTTTCGTCTCTCCCAAATTTCATGCTCACGCTTCCATGTCAAAAGGATGTTGTCAATCGGTAGCTGGAACCAATCAGGTAGAGGAATCGGTTCTGAAACTCCATCTGAAATGGTCCAGAAGGTGCATGACTCTCCTTCAAGAGTCTTAGACTCCGCTGCTGCAACAAGTGCAGATTCCTGGGCATCACCAACCTCATCGGAAGGGTCTGGAATTTCATCCAGATGGTACAAGTCATTCATGCGATCTGGCGTGCGCTCCATAGCCTTTTTAGCGGCCTGAATGTCTCCATCAAAGTGCCAGGTTGCTAGCTGTGACATTGTGGTGAAGCCGCGACTCAGCCAACTCCACATTATGATCTTCCCACCCTGGTACTCCCTGAGCATCCGCAACGCCCACGCATCACAGCGGAGGCTTCCTTCTTGAGACAGCCTTGGCTGTACAGGTGCACATAGAATATAAATTGATCCACCAGTGACAGTATGTGCACCTTACCATACTAAGCGAACTAGCTTCACACCATGTCTGGTTATGTATACACAACCCGCAGACACACATATATATATATTATACTACTGTACATGTATACACACACGCATAGCTCCACAACCTAAAGCAAATTTGTAATTGTCCTATATCAGTTCAATCACAACTAAGCCCTTCACTCAAATCGATAGTTCCCATCCACTGAAATGGATAACTCTTCAATCTTCATCCGCAGTCGGGGATTGTCACCCATGCCAGCTCTCATTCTCATTGCTGAACGTCGAAGGCCATGATAAAACTGGTGGAATCCATCATTTGGACCACCACATGCCCCCCAACCTGACGCGACATGATCGCAAGTAGCACAGCTTTTTATGTGGTGTATTGTATATATATACATATGCAAATATATATATATATAATTTTGTATATATATATAGATTTGTTTGTCGTGCATGTTGTATTTTAAATGTTTTTCCAACTATGTCAGGAGCAAGAGGCTCGTATGGGCAACATATGCATGTGTATATATATATACACATAAACATTGCAAGTTCCACTCACCCTGCCTGCCGGGATGGTCACATGCTCCTCACTGCCGCCGTGAATGAGGATGCAATTGTTATTGCTCTCAAATCTTTCTCTAAGCTTCTTGAACGTAGCGCTCCCATGCTGTGGTGCTTTGTCCATCATGATCATGGCACGAGCTGATGCTGGAAGATCGTGCTTCATACGCTTCCGCCTCAGTTCAATTCCCAGGAACTCCAAGTACTCTCCCAGGTCAGCAGCTGTCCACATATGTGAATGGCTGTTGTGGCGGGTGGATATTTGCAAAGTATTCTTCAGCTCCTCATTCATGCTGTCCACCACTTTCTCAGACCTTACTGTACATGAAAAACGCACACAGAGTAGAGTAGGGCTGATGATATTCTATCTGCATTAAACTGATATGCATCTCAAAGAAATCAACAATAAGCACATCCGCTGACATAATACAGTGAGCATATATATATATATGTGATACGCAAGTCATTACTCCATATACAACCTCTATATGTATAACACTATGTCCTGGCCGCCAACAATGCTGGCTTGCCATGATTATGAACCAGCTGCATATATATATATATACACATATTGTAGTGTCCTTCCCCAAATGGGCTTTGGCTTATATATATATACACACAAACGCGTATAATGAACACACACACAGCAAAAGCAGCAAACCCCAGGAGATCCATCAATAACTGAGGATTCTGCACTGATCCTGGCTGTATGGTCACCCAGGCACGCCCAAGGTCACCATCCGCCCAAGACAATGTTGTCAACGTCCTTGCTTGCCGTGCGTAGTCGACTGGATTCAAATTTCCAGCTGCATCCAACTGCATTTTCTTGCAATCGTCCTTGGGAACCACCTGAGCTTGCTGTCCACAGCCAGCCATGCCTAGGGACTCACTGATGCTGGCACGGATCTTTTGCAAAGACCGTTTCCTGTAGTCACTGTCCACGATCTGACCAGCTTGGCTCTCATGCTTGTGCATTACTCTCCGCGGAGCCTCATAATGCACACTCCAAACTTGATCAAAGTTGCCTAGCAATCTTGGATCAATGCGCTCTGTTTCACATGCAATGGACACGTAATCGCGAACGCTTTCCATAGATGGGTGTGAATAGTCCAAGTGCTTGGATTGTTTGGTCACTGATCTGCCACGCAGGCCAATACGGTTGCACAGTCTGGACACAGTAGCCCTGGATGGGATTCTCTCTCTCTCCCTCTCCCTTTGTATCACATATATATACATACCACTATATATAAACTATATATATATATACATACACGCAAGTACAATTGAAATCAACGTATGCACAGTACAACAAAGAAAAATCATGACAAAACATAACTCTTTACTTGATACATTCAAGGTTCTGCATTGCCTTTGGATGTTTGCTCACATTCAATGGCTGGAGGGCTTGCAGCATTTGCTCGGCAAGGGTAGCTGCATTTGATGATGTGGCCTCCTTGTTGCCATCAGAATCAGACTGCTGCAGGTCTTCAAGCATTTGCTGAACCTCATTGTGAATCTCGCTGATATGTTCATTCCAAACACCAATCAATATCACAAGGATATTCTCAACCAGCTTGATGGTGACCTCCTCGCCTGCATCAAGCCTCTCCAACACCAAGCAATCAAGCGCGCGTGCAAGAACATCAGGAACTACATGTAGACCATCAGATGACTTATGATGGCTTCCTGTCCACTTTGTGGTCTGTATGCCAAGAACGTTTCTGAGGTTGTTTGGAACCTCTGCTCGTTCCCTTGCAATCTTGGGGGCATGCTGGACTAAGAGATCCCACTTTTGATCCGTTCGCTGTCTCTTCCACTTTGCGAAGCAGCCTTGATAACACCCAGCTCTTCGTTGGGTGGTGAGGATATGCTTCTCTGGATGCTTGATGGCAGGGTCGGCACACACTTTCTCATACTCCTGACCAAAAAATAAAGATCTTTCCAACATATTCTATCTGCACTGATTTGTTAGTAGCGTATATATACAATCCTAAGAAACAATGATATATACAATTCCAATTTTCCCAAGAATTCAGGTGCATACATAACAAACAAACGAAGAGCGCCAAGTCCTTCAGGTGCTCCATCTT